AGGAGGATCAATGGAACCGCATAGAAGACCCAGAAATAAACCCACACACCTATGAATACTCGATTTTTGACAAAGAAGCCAAAACCATTCAATGGAAAAAAAGACAGCATCTTCAACAAATGGTGCTGGTCCAACTGGATGTCCACATGCAGAAAAATGAAAATAGATCTCTATTTATCATCCTGCACAAAACTAAAGTCCAAGTGGATCAAAGGCCTCAACATAAAACCAGATACTCTAAATCTGTTAGAATAAAAAGTGGGGAACAGCCTAGAACTGATTGGCACAGGAGACAACTTCCTGAACAGAACACCAACAGCACAGGCTCTAAGAGCAACAATCAATATATGGGACCTCATGAAACTGAAAAGCTTCTGTAAAGCAAAGGACACTGTCATCAAAACAAAACGACTGCCTATAGATTGGGAAAGAATCATCACCAACCCTTTATCTGACAGAGGACTAACATCCAGTATATACAAAGAACTAAAGAAGCTGAAAAGCAGCAAACCAAGTAATCCAATTAAAAAAATGGGGAACAGAGCTAAAGAGAGAATTCTCGACAGAGGAATATCGAATGGCAGCGAAAGACTTAAAGAAATGCTCATCCTCATTAGCCATCAGGGAAATGTAAATCAAAACCTGAGATATCACCTTACACCCATTAGAATGGCCAAGATCAAAAACTCAAGTGACAACACATGCTGGAGAGGTTGTGGAGAAAGGGGAACCCTCCTCCACTGCTGGTGGGAATGTAAACTGGTACAACCACTCTGGAAATCTATCTGGCGCTTTTTAAGACAATTAGGAATAGTGCTTCCTCAAGACCCAGCTATACCACTGCTAGGTATATACCCAAAGTTTGCTCAAGTACACAAAAGGGATATTTGCTCAACCATGTTTATAACAGCTTTATTTGTAATAGCCAGAACCTGGATACAACCCAGATGTCCATCAACGGAGGAATGGGTACAGAAATTGTAGTATTTTTACACAATGGAATACTACTCAGCAATCAAAAAGGAGGAAATCATGAAATTTGCAGGCAAATGTTGGGATCTAGAAAAGATCATTCTGAGTGAAGTATCCCAGAAGGAGAAAGACAAACTTGGTATATACTCGCTTATATAGACCTACACGATATGATAAACATAATGAAATCTACACTCCTAAAGAAGATAATCAAGAAAGTGGATATAGGTGAAGATGATCAATCCTCATTTAGAAAGACGAATGGGATGTGCATTGAATGTATGACAGGAGTCTACCGCAAAAGGCATCTGAAAGGCTCTACCTAACAGTGTTTCAAAGCAGACACTAATACTCATAACCAAACCATGGCAGAGTAGAGGGAATCATATGAAAGAAGGGGAGTTAGTATGATATGGAAAGGATAGGAGCTCTACAAGTACCAACTATCCGGGCACAGGGTCATTTCTGAGACTGACACTCAACCAAGGACCATCTATGGATATAACATAGAACTTCTGCTCGGGTGTGGCCCGTGGTAGCTCATTAACCAAGTAGTTTTCCAAAGTAAGGGGAACAAGGACTATTTCTAACAGGATCTCAAGGGCAGGCTCTTTGACCTCCCCCACCAGGGGAGGAGCAGTCCTGTTAGGCCACAGAGGAGGACTTTGCAGCCAGCCTTGAAGATACCTGATAAAACAGGGTCAAATGAAAGGGGAGGAGGTCCTCCCCTATCAATGGACTTGGAAAGGGGCAGGGAGGAGACCAGGGAGGGAGTTGGGGAGGTGGAGGGAATGAGGGAGCGGGATACAGCTGGGACACAGAGTTAACAAATTGTAACTAAAAAGAAAAATAAAAATTTAAAAAATTAAAAAAAGAATGTATAACAATGTTCTAGTTACATTAGCATTTGGATGGTGTTTTTATGGTAATTTCTACGGCCAATCCTAATTATCAGGAGTTAAATTCATTAAAAAATAATATTTTTCTAGTTAAAAAAAAAGTTGTACTATAGAGCAACAGTTTCAAAAACTGCATGGTACTGGCATAGAAACAGAATGGTGGATCAATGGACCCGAACAGAGGACCCAGAAATAAACCCACACACTTATGGACACCTGAACTTTGACAAAGATGCCAAAACCATACAATGGAAAAAAGATAGCATCTTCAACAAATGGTGCTGGTCCAACTGGATGTCTACATGAAGAAAAATGAAAATAGATCCATACTTATCACCCTGCACAAAACTGAAGTCCAAGTGGATCAAAGACCTCAACATAAAACCAGACACATTAAATCGGCTAGAAAAAAAAGGGGGGAATACCCTAGAACTCATTGGTACAGGAGAAAACTTCCTGAACAGAACACCAACAGCACAGTCTCTAAGAGCAACAATCAATAAATGGGACCTCATGAAACTGAAAAGCTTCTGTGAAGCAAGGGACACCATCATCAAAACAAAGCGACTGCCTACAAATTGGGAAAAAATCATCACCAACCCTTTATGTGACAGAGGATTCATATCCAGTATATATAAAGAACTAAAGAAGCTGAAAAGCAATAAACCAAGTAATCCACTTAAAAAATGGGGAACAGAGCTAAAGAGAGAATTCTCGACAGAGGAATATCGAATGGCAGAGAAACACTTAAAGAAATGCTCAACCTCATTAGCCATTAGGGAAATGCAAATCAAAACAACCCTGAGATTTCACCTTTCACCCATCAGAATGGCCAAGATCAAAAACTCAAGTGACAACACATGCTGGAGAGGTTGTGGAGAAAGGGGAACCCTTCTCCACTGCTGGTGGGAATGTAAACTTGTACAACCACTCTGGAATCAATCTGGCGCTTTCTCAGACAACTAGGAATAGCGCTTCCTCAAGATCCAGCCATACTACTCCTAGGCATATATCCAAAAGAGGCTCAAGTACACAAAAAGGACATTTGCTCAACCATGTTTGTAGCAGCTTTATTTGTAATAGCCAGAACCTGGAAACAACCCAGATGCCCCTCAACTGAAGAATGGATGCAGAAATTGTGGTACATCTATACAATGGAGTATTACTCAGCAATGAAAAATAAGGAAATCATGAAATTTGCAAGTAAATTGTGGGACCTGGAAAGGATCATCCTGAGTGAGTTGTCCCAGAAGCAAAAAGACACGCATGGTATATACTCACTCATATAAATATACAATATAGAATAAACCCACTAAAATCTGTACATCTAAACAAACTAAGCAAAAGAGAGGACCCTAACTAAAATGTTCAATCCCCATCCTGAAAGGCAAAGAGGATGGACATCAGAAGAAAAAGAAAATAGGAAACAACCTAGGAACCTGCTACAGAGGGCCTCTGAAAGCCAGAAGAAAACAGGAAACGACCTTGAAACCTGCCACAGAGGGCCTCTGAAAGCTTCTGCAGTATAGACTGTCAAAGCAGATGCTGAGCCTGATGGCCAACTGATGGGCAGAGTGAATGGAATTCTATGTAAGAAGTGGGAAATAGTAAGAGCTGGAGGGGATGGGAACTCCACAAGGAGAACAACAGAACAAGATAATTTGAACACAGGGAACTTCCCAGAAAATCATACTCCAACCAAGGACTATTCGTGGAGATGACCTGGAACCCCTGCACAGGTGTAGCCCTTGGCAGTTCAGTGTCCAAGTGGGTTACATAGTAATGGGAAGAGGGACTGCCTCTGACATAATCTGATTGGCCTGCTCATTGATCACCTCCCCCTGAGGGGGGAGCAGCCTTACCAGGCCACAGTAGAGGACAATGCAGCCACTTTTGATGAGAACTGATAGACTAAGATCAGAAAGAAGAGGAGAACCTCTCCTATCAGTGGACTCGGGGAGTGGCATGCATGCAGAAAGGGGACGGAGGGTGGAATCAGGAGGGGAGGAGGGAGGGGCTTATGGGGGGATACAAAATGAATAAAGTGTAATTAATAAAAAATTTAAAAAAAGAAACTAAGCAAGAGAGAGGACCCTAACTAAAACGCTCAATCCCCATCTTGAAAGGCAAAGAGGATGGACATCAGAAGAAGAAGTAAGCAGGAAACAACCTAGGAACCTGCTACAGAGGGCCTCTGAAAGCCAGAAGAAGAAAACAAGAAACAAACTAGGAACCTGCCATAGAGGGCCTCTGAAAGCCTCTGCCCTGCAGACTATCAAAGCAGATGCTTGAGCCTGATGGCCAACTGTCGGGCAGAGTGAATGGAATTTTATGTAAGAAGTGGGAAATAGTAAGAGCTGGAGAGGACAGGAACTCCACAAGGAGAGCAACAGAACAAGAAAATTTGAACACAAGGAACTTCCCAGAGAGTCATACTCCAACCAAGGACTATTCATGGAGATAACCTAGAACCCCTGCACAGATGTAGCCCATGGCAGTTCAGTGTCCAAGTGGTTTACATAGTAATGGGAAGAGGGACTGCCTCTTACATAATCTGATTGTCCTGCTCTTTGATCACCTCCCCCTGAGGGGGGAGCAGCCTTACCAGGCCACAGAAGAGGACAATGCAGCCACTTTTGATGAGAACTGATAGACTAAGATCAGAAAGGAGAGGAGAATCTCCCCTATCAGTGGACTTGAGGAGGGGCATGCATGCAGAAAGGGGAGAGAGAGTGGGATCGGGAGGGGAGGAGGGAGGGGCTTATGGGGGATGCAAAATGAATAAAGTGTAATTAATAAAAAATTAAAAAAATAAAGTGGAGAAGCAATTAAAAAAAAGATCCTCATGTGTTTTGCAATGGACTCAACTCCTGGTGGTCTTTTAGGGTCTTGCAAATCGGGCACAACATCTTCACCTCCTAAAACAGAAGCTTAAATAGCACAGAAACCATGTCCACCTATTGCCTGCTGTGGGTCCAGAGCATAGAAAACCGTCTGGCACAGAAGGTAATCTGTTGCGTATTGCTGAAAGGAGAGTTGTAAGAAGTAGCTCTGCGGCGGGATGCTGAAGTACTATACATATGACTTATTTCAAAAGCACACTCAATTCCTGCTTCATTCAGCCCTTACCAAGCATGCTGTGTGAGATGGGGAAAGTGATGGTGGGCTGGCCTGTCATCCTCCAGCGGCTACAGAGGTAGGAGAGATAAGTTCTGAGTATTTCTACTATCATCTGGTTGTCCAGAGCCAAGTAAAACCATTGCTGGTCTACAAACTGAGAAAAGAAAAAAAACAATCATTCAATTTTGCTCTCACAAATATCAAATAGTATTTGCCAATGTGCACTTAGTCGTAAGGCATGCATGTCACAGAGAAAGCAGGACTCTCAAATTTAATGCTTAATAATTCCCAAAGTTTGTGGTGGTCAATGATTCACATAAAGATAGTTTTGGGTATTTTTAAAGTGTGTGACTTCCTACAAATCTTTTCTAGTATATAATTCCATTTAATCCTATAACCACCTAGTGTAAGCAATCTCTCCTCTTCCTCCTCCTTTTCTCCTTTCCTTCAGTTTCTCATTATGTAGCCTAGGCTGTTTTTGAACTCATAATCCTCCTGTTCTACAATTCCTGAGTCCTGGATTACAGCCATGTACCACTATTCCCAGCTTTCCATTTTTCTTTTAATACGAAGAATGATTCAGAGAAAGATGTGTGGACTCGCACACACATCTTTGTCTATGTGTATCACAGCTGCACTGTTTTAGATGTGAAGGAGAGAAATTTAAATTTTCCTTTCAGAAAATATTTACTGTTGTGGTAGAGACAAATCCCCAGGCCTTGTGCATGCTTAGCAAGCACGCTATGCCTACGCTCTAGCTTTAGCTCTCAGTTGAGACACAACTCTCCTGTGTAGCTCATGCTGACCTTGCTAACCATGTTCCCCAGTTTGGCTCTGAATATATGAGTCTCTTGCCTGACCTCCCTAAGTACTGAGACTACAAGTATGAGACACCATGCCTGGCTTCCTTCCCAGAAAATAATTTCTACTACCATACACATATGCGATTGAACTTAGATCTACTATTGTGTACCTAACAAATGGGAGGCTAGCAATATGTTTAAGTACGGCTTAACAGTCCTGATGTTTTTCTTTAAAGGAAGACATGGGCATTGAAGTTTTCAATGCAAAAGAAAAGGCTCCTTCCCCCCAGGAAACACTTAATTTAGCACTTGAATAAAACAGATTGAGTTTCACTCACAAAGAACAAATACAGTCTCAGTTTAACTTCTGAAAACAGGGAAAACTGTGTCAGGACTTGAGCATTTAGAAAATCCCCTTCGCAGCTCACCACCCCAGACTATTCTTGGTAGTGACAGTCACTAGGCAAGGCTCTGTGCTGCGAATTCAGTTCAGTTCAATTCCATAAACACTTATTGAGCCGTTTAACATATGCGAGGCCTATGGGACTCTGACTCATCTAGTTCCAGCACATACATGCTTTCTTTCTGTAGTCTCTTTCCCTCTTAGTCCATTCATCTCAATGCGTTTTGCAGCCTATCCTACTCACCTGCGGAGTGAAAGTAAAGACAGTTTTGCGAATGTCATAGAGTTTTGATGTTCCAAGCACACCCATGAGCCTGTAGGGTCGTCCACTGAGTTTCATTCTATTATTGCATCCTGACACAGATTTGAGAAATGATCAGGAGAGTCTTAGGGTACAGTTTAAAGCAATATTTGTTTACACAGATGCACACAGTGATGTATACACATAGAAATACACATCCACCTCATTTCTTTCAGTTTAAGATGTCTCCCTTTTATAGCTTAGCTTTCTAAAATTAGAATCCATATTGCAATCTATATCTATGTTAAATACATTATATACATACCTTACTGTATACTGTATATAAATATGAAACTACATTAAACATTGTTAAGATACAATAAGGGAATTGTTCATTCACTGACATGTATTTTTCTTATCATCAGAGCGGAAAATACTTCACATATTGGTCTAAATTTTTTTCCTCCCAAATACATGGAATACCCTTTCTTGTCAGTACCGATAGAACCCCTACTATGTTTCTGGCTACAGCATATGTTTATGAGTACTTGATTTGGTATCTTTATCAAATATGCTACCTTTTCATGTGCATGAGTACACATGCAGGCCAGGAAAACCCTGAGGTGTCATCCTCTGGAATGCCATTCATCTCCTTTTGAGTTTGGGTCTCTAGCTGACCTAGAGTCCACCAATTAGGCTAGACATGATAGCTAACAAGCCCCAGGATCTTTCTGTCTCTGCCTCCCCACTGCTGGGATTATAAGCATGCATACCATTTCTGATACTCCTATGCATATTTAGAGGATCAAACCCAAGTCCTCATGATGGCAAGAAAAGCGGTTTACCAATTGAGCCACACCCCCACTCCAGCATGCTACATTTTCAGAGTTGCTTCTGCTTGTGAGGTAGCAGACCAGAGAATGCTCAATGCCTTGGTTATATTCCAAGTTCCACTCAATAATGCACATATTTGCTCTGGGATTAATAGCAAGACTAGGTTTATTCACAAATTCTTGTTGGTAAAATCTTGACTATTATTGTATATGGTGTGTGTGTGTGTGTGTGTGTGTGTGTGTGTGTGAACACTCATGTCAGGACACAGGGAGGCGAGAAGGCAAACTTGGGGAGCTGGTTCTCTCTACTTTAGGTTTCTGGGATTCAAGTCATCAAGCTTACGAGGCAAGTGCTTTTTACCATTATGAGGGTCTTTCCTAGTATCTTTTTCATAACACTAAAATATATGTAACAAAATTTATCATTTAATAATTTTAAGAGCTTAGTAGCTTTAAATACATCATTGTGTAAATGCCACCACTATTCACCTCCCTAGAACTACTTCATCTTTGCAAACTGAAACTCTACATCCATTAAACACTAAGTTCCTTCTCTTCCCAGTCTCTGACAACAGATTTCTACTTTGTGTCTATGAATTTGACTCCTCAAAATACCTCACATTGAAGAGAATCATTGTTATCTTTCCTTTTATAACTAACTGGTTTATTTCACTCAGCACAGTATCTTCAAAGCTATATATATAATAGCATGTTAGAATTTCCCTCCTTTATTAAGGTCAAATATTCCATCCTTTATATGTGCCACCTTTGCTTTTCTATTCAATTGTTGATGATATTCAGAGTGTTCACATCTTTTCCTATTGTAAACAATATTGGACTGTAATGCAGAAAATATCTGTTCAACTTTCTCACTTCATTTTCTTTTGAGAATATACTTAGAATTCTTGAATCATATACCAATTTTATGCTTAAACTCCAAAAAAGACTTATTTTTGTATATGGATGTTTTGTGAGCCCAGTATCAGAAAAGGCATTGGGTTCCCTAGAACTGGAGTGACTGGTGGTTGTTTGTTATCATGTCAGTGCTGGGAAGAGAATCTGATCCTCTGAAAGTGCACAAGTGCTCGTAACACTGAGCCACCTCTCTAGGCCCTACGTTTAACTTTTTAAGGAACCACTGTCCTGTTATCCACTGCTTTGCCATTTTAAAGTCCCTCCAACAGTTCACAAGAGTTTGTTTCTACAAATCTTCACCAACAGTCATTATAACACCTGTAAAGTTGTATCTTATTGTAATTTTGGTTCATATATCCCTACTGATCAGTTTTGAATATTTTTTACATTTATTTTTAGAATTTCACACAAGAACTGTATTTGCATAATTTTACCCCACCCACTATGTCCCTTCAGCTCCTATGTCCCTCACAATCCCTCTAAAATTCATAGCCTCTTTATTATTATCAGTATAAATGCACACACAGGTATATACATACATATGCAAATATATAAATACAGCATATCGAATACATTTAGTGTTGCCTGTATGTACATTTGTTCAAGGTTGACCACTTGCGATTGGATAACTTATCATGGAGTTGATAGAGAGACCTGGAGGGGACAAGAGCTCTGAAAGGAGACCAATACAGCCATAAAAATTGAGCCCTGGGGCCCCTGAAGTGAATGATACTCCAACCAAGGACCGTGGATGGAGAGGACCTAAAACCCCAGCTGAAATGTAGCCCATAGACTCAGTCTTGAAGTGAGGTCCCTAGGAAGGGGAGCAGGAAATTTCTCTGGCATGAACTCAGTGGCAGGCTCTCTAATCACCTCCACCTGGGGGGTTCAGCCTTGCCAGGCCACAGAAGAAGAAATGCAACCAGTCCTGATAAGCTATGGTCAAACAGAAGGAGCAGAGGATCTCCCCTATCAGTGCACAATGGAGAAGAGGTTCAGTGGTGATGGAGAAGAGGTTCAGTGGGTGGAATTGGAAGGGGATAGGGGAGGAGGCTACACCTAGGATACAAATCAATAAAATGTAATTAATAAAAAAATAAATTAAAAAAATCAACAATCAGTAAATGGGATCTTATGAAACTAAAAAACTTCTGTAAACAAAGAACGCTGTCATCAGAACAAAATGCCTACAGACTGGGAAAGGATCTTCACCAACCCTATATCTGACAGAGGGCTAATATACAGAATATATAAAGAACTAAAAAATTTAAACACTTAAAATTTAAAAAATTTAAATCAAGTAATCCTATTAAAATGGAGTACATAGCTAAACAGAGAGTTCTGAATAGAGGAATAGCGAATGGCTGAGAAAAACATAAAGAAATGCTCAACATCCTTAGTCATCAGGGAAATGCAAATCAAAATGACCCTGAGATTCCACCTTACACCCATCAGATTGGCTAAGATCAAAAACTCACAACACACTTTGAAGAGAATGTGAAAAAAGGGGAACCCATCTTCATTGCTGATGGGAATGTAACCTTGTACAATCACTTTGGAAATCAATCTGGCGATTTCTCAGAAAATTGGGAATAGTGCTTCCTCAAGATCCAGCTATACCACTTCTAGGCACATATCCAAAAGATGCTCAAGTACACAACAAGGACATTTGCTCAACCATGTTGGTAGCAGCTTTATTTGTAATAGCCAGTTTCTGGAAACAACCTAGATGTCCCTCAGCTGAGGAATGGATACAGAAATTGTGGTACATTTACACAATGGAATACTACTCAGCTATTTTTAATAGAACAAGGAAATCATGAAATTTGCAGGCAAATGGTGCAAGCTAGAAAAGATCATCTTGAGTGAGGTATCTCAGAAGCAGAAAGACACACATGGTATAAATTCACTTATAAGTGGATATTAGTCACAAAATATAGGATAAACATACTAAAAATCTATAATCCTAAAGAACCTAAACAAAGAGGATCCTAGGGAACTTGCTTGATCCTCACTCAGAAAGAAATTATGATGAACATCAGAAGCAGGAAAAAACAGGGAACAGGAAAGGAGCCTACCACAAAGCGCCTCTGAAAGACTCTACACAGCAGGGTATCAAGGCAGATGCTGAGACTCATATAAAAACTTTGGGCAGAGTGCAGGGAATCTTATGAAAGAAGGGGGGAGATAGAAAGACCTGGAGGGGACAGGAACTCCACAAGGAGAACAACAGAACCAAAATATCTGGGCACAGGGTCTTTGCAAAGACTGATACTCCAACAAAGGACTATACATGAAGATATCCTAGACCCCTTGATCAGATGTAGCCCATGGCAGCTCAGTCTCCAAGTGGGTTCCCTGGTAAGGGGAGCAGAGATTGTCTCTGACATGAACTCATGAGCTAGCTCTTTGATCACCTCCCCCTGAGGGGAGTGGAGCTGTACCCGGCCATAGAGGAAGATGATGCAGCCAGTCCCGATAAGACCTGACAGGGTAGGGTCAGAAGGAAGGGGAAGAGGACCTTCCCTATCAGTGGACTGAGGGAGGGGAATGGGAAGAGTAGAGGGAGGTAGGGTGAGATTGGGAGGGGACGAGGGAGGGGTCTACAGCTGAGATATGAAGTGAATGAATTGTAATAATCAAAAAATAAATAAAAAATAAAACAACAACCTCAACACAGCTGGCCTCTCAGGGATATTCACTGAAGATGTAACAGTAAGACTAGGCACAAACCCTCATACCAAGGCTGGATGAAGTAACCTCATGGGAGGAAAACAGTTCCAAGTACAGGCAAAAAGGGTTAGAGACACCCCTGAATCCTACCAACAGGAATCCCGAGAGAACACCACGTTATACAACCATAATATGTGTAGAGGACCTAGTTCAGACCCTGTTGGGCTTCCTAACTGTCTCTTCAGTCTCTGTAAGCCCCTAGGAGCTCTGCTTAACTGATTCTGTGGATCATGTTCTCCTGGTGTCCTCAACCTCTCTGAGTCCTACAATCCTTCTTCCTTAATCTTCTGGAGGATTCTCCTTAGCCTTAAAATCTTTTTTTATTATTTTATTTTATTTTTATTAAATACAGTTTATTCACTTTTGTATCCTAGCTGTAGTCCCCTTCCCCATCCCCTCAAAATCCCAACCTTCCTCCCTCTTCTTTTCCTATGGCCCTCCCCAAGTCCAATGATAGGGTAGGCCTCCTCTCCTTCCATCTGACCTTAGTCTATCAGGTCTCATCAGGACTGGCTGCACTGTCTTCCTCTGTGGACTGGTAAGGCTGCTTCCCCCTCAGGTGGAGGTGATCAAAGAGCTAGCTCATGAGTTTATGTCAGAGACGGTCCCTGTTCCTATTATTGAGGAACCCT